CCCAGTGCTTTGAGCTTTCATCTTAAAATGTTTTTTTCTGCTGCTGTTTGATTTGCTTAAAAAGGGTGCCATGGGACAGAAAGCAAACCTTTATATTTTTGTGCATCATCTTTGCATCTGGAAAGTTACTCCAAGAAGAAACTCAAGAAACACCATCAAAATGTGATGAAGAATTTTTAAATTACTTCAGAGCATAAACCCTCTAGAATGCATTTTTGTGGAAATTATAGGAGAGAATTTCCTTTGAAGGGCAGAAGCTGGTTGAAATCCTCCAGTATGTAGTAGCTGTTTCCTCAGAGAGTAATTTCTTTGCATTAGAAGAGCAGGCTGTCAATGCTGGTAGCCTGCATGAAACACTTTCTATAAATAAATTTTTGAAATGTATTCTACACGAAAAACATGTTTCTGTGTAGGCTTTAAACTGTATTTTTGATTGTCACACCAAGAAGCACCGAGGCTGTCAATGCCTGGACTGAGCAGTAGGGCAGAGCTTCACATCTTCTGCTCAAATATTTGGGTGGCTGCTGGAGCATGGTGGTTGTCTCAGCTCATAGTGCCAGAAATGAACCCAGGATGCCAAAAGATCCATAAAAACCTGTCTGTCAAAATCCAGAGGATTATTGAAAATGTAGTATTATAATGATGTTGCTCCATCTTGTTGGGGCAAGGTGCAAGTTTACCCTTTGTTATGTTTGTGTTGCAGAATTAAAGTCCAGTAATTTTGCTTGTTTAAAGCATGAGATAGGGTTTTTTTTGTCTGGATTAGATATTTGGACTTGAAGGAGTGAAATGTCTTCCAGGTTGTAAGCCTGACTGCTTCCAGATTCTGATCCAGCTTACTCTGGTCAAGTGCCTTACTGCACTGGTAAAATTTGGTGGCAGAGAGAATGATTTATTTTTCCATTGTAGAAAGGCAAGTTAGGAAAAAATAACTGTTGTATAAAGAGGTATGTGTTTTAAAAAGCATTGTGTGGCCCAGTTGGGTTCTTTTTCCCTGACTGTAAGTGCTGAATTAGGCTATGGATGTAATCAGTCATTTTCTACAAGGCCTTTGACACAGTGCCCCACATCCTTCTCTCTAAATTGGAGACATATGGATTTGATGTGTGGATTGTTCACTGGAAAAGGAGTTGGTTGGATGACCACATCCAGAGGGTACTGGTCAGCAGCTCAGAGTCCTGGTGGACAAAGTGGTGTCCCTCAGGGGTCCGTAGTGGGACCAGTGCCTCCATCAGTGACATGGACAGTGGGATCGAGTGCACTCTCAACAAGTTTGGCAACAACCAAGCTGAGTGGTGTGGTTGACATGCCTGGGGTGCCATCCACAGGGTCCTGGACAGGCTCAAGAAGTGAGTCTTGGGAGCTGCATGAGGTTCAGCAAGGCCAAGTGTGAGGTCCTGTACCTGGGCTGGGGGAGTCCGCAACCATCAGTGTGGTTTAGGGGTGAAGGGATTGAGAGCAGCCCTGCTGAGAACGTCTTGGGGGTGCTGGTAGAGGAGAGCTTGCAAACCAGAAAGCCACTTGTGTCCTGGGCTGCATCAAAAGCAGCGTGGCCAGTAGGATGAGGGAGGGGATTCTGCCCTGCTGCTCTGGTGAGACCCCACCTGGAGTGCTGCATCCAGCTCTGCGGTCCTCAGCACAGGGAAGACATGGACATACTAAAGTAGATCCAGGGGAGGTTAGTGGCTGGAGCACCTCTCCCTGTGGAAACAGACTGAGCAAGTTGGAGCTGCTCAGCCTGGGAAAGAGAAGGCTCCAGGGAGATTTTATTGTGGCCTTCAAGTACCTAAAAGGGACCTACAAGGAAAATGGGTACAAACTTTTGGATAGGGACTGTAGTGTGAGGACAAGGGGCAATGGTTTTGAACTAAAAAAAGGCAGATTTAGACTAGATGTGAGGAAGAAGTTTTTTCAGTGAGGGCATTGAAACACTGGAACAGGTTGGTCATAGCGGTGGTAGATGCCCCATGCACAAAAAACTTTCAAGATTGGATGAGGCTCTGAGCACCTTGAGTGGAAGATGGTGGGGTAGTTGGACTAGATAAGCTTCAAAGGTCTCTTCCAAACCAAGCCATTCCATGATTCTGTGAACAGTGTGCCTTGTTGTGGGATGACTTGTAGGTAAAGGAGCATTGCTGCTGCTGATCTGCTCATGTATGTGGTCAGCTGCAGAATTTGCTTACCTTACTTTCAGTATTAGGAAATAGGCCAATCACAGTGCTCCAAATGGCCACTGGTTTAATTTTTCTGGGAGTCGATGTTTCTCTGAATTGGGAAACTATTCTAATTTAAAAAGAACCCTTGTAGTTGCTGCTGTTGAAGCAGTGTTTAATGTTGTGTGGCTGTTGGCAGGAGACTTGATGCATTTTCACATGACCCCCTCTGGAACAAAAGCAGATTGTTTCCTTCTGTTTTTCTGTTACACAAATGAGTTCCTTTTGAAGCAATTTCTTTTTCTGCAAATTCTGGAAATCGACACCAGGAGTAGTTTTTCCTTTGCTGTGTCTTTTACAATCTGCTGTTGGATAATTCTGGCACAAAAAGCTGCTTTGGGGTACCAGCCCAAAAAAGTTGAGACCTCTGCAGAGAGCCTCCTCCTCTTGGGGAATGAGTTTTTCTTCCAGTTTCATACAGGGCTTCTTCAGTGTGGACTTTCATTTCCTGCTGTCGTTACTATAGCTAGGCAGAGTTTGTTTCTGGTTTTTAAGTTGCTTCATTTACATATATGCATTTTTAGTGTCCAGTAGGTATAGCAATGTATGTAGCAAGTCACTTCTGGATTGAGCTTTTTTGTATATTGTAGTATAACAAATCCTTGGTTTGGTACCAGCCTCTGCCATCTGAAGCCTTTGCCTGAGAAGCAAGGTTGAAGTCAGATGCAGATTATTGGCTGATGCAGTGCTGCATAACTAGACCAATTAGTACTGGATGAAAAGAGCAACAAATTATTTAAGTGGGGATCTCAAACAACAAAATGAATCATGCAGCAGGGAGTGGGTTTTGTGGCAATATTTAATAGCTGACAAATGAAAAAAAAAAGATGGGATGACAAAAAAAAGGTGCTTTCTCTAAATATCATTTTTTCTCCTTATAATTATATACTCATTTCTCAAAGCCTTCCTGATGTTCATGCTTCTGGTGAGACAAGTTATATTTCCTTATTCCTGAGACACCAGTGTGCCAGTGCTGTGGCCGTTCACACAGGTGCTCACAGTACCATAGCTGGTGAGGTGACATAATCCCAAAAATGCACTTTATTCTGAAGTGTTTGCTTTCTTGGGCTGGGCTTCTTAAGTCAGAAAATAAAACCAGTATGAATTAGGGCTGCAAAATACTTTCAACACTTCTGATTATTTTGATCAAGCCCTTAAGTTTGTGCCTGGTGACCAGATTCCAGTGGTGCTTCTGTGGCTTTCTGTAGTCCCAAGCACTGTGACACAAGGGAAAGTCCCTTTTGTGTGTCCCTGAGAGCCTGAATGGAACGGTGCCTGGGGCCTTGCAGTGGAAGGGTAGGAGACCACAGAGTGGAAATGCAGGACCTAAGCCCCTTGTATTTGCTTGGGCCCATGGGAAGTCAAAGCCCCTGCAGGCCTTCCAGCACTGCCTCCCAGTGCCACTTGGCACTGGGGAGAAAACAGAATTTGCATTCTGCTTGGCTTTTCTTGTTGGACCTGGATGAAATTGAGGTTTCAGTCCCAGATGACTAAAACCAGAGGATATATGGTTAATTTAACTTGCATAAATCCCCTAGAGATGGGATTTTCACAGGTGGGAGATATTTCTTTAGGTAGAACTAAAAAAAAATTAAAATAAATATGATACTTTTTTTTTTCTTAGCAAGTCACTATAAGCTTGTGTAATTGTTTTGGTTGGTGCTGTGGGTATACTGACAGCTTGTGTTGCTTATGTTACTTTCTCATAGCTAAAAATTGTTCTTAATATTAGTACTTTAGGAAAGGAGAAACACCACAAAATGAAAACCATTCTATTAGAAGTGGATAAAATTTTATTAGTGAACATACAGTACAGTTCTGGATAGACAAGAGGAAATAGGAAGAGTTGAATTTTTTTGTTTTGTTTGGGTTTTTTGGTTTTTGGTGGGTTTTTTTGTTTGTTTTTTCTTAATCAAGAAGAAAATTACTTCCTCTTCTCTTGAGAACAGCTTTGTGCACCATTGTCCCTGCTTGTGGACAGTTGCTGCTTCTTTCCTGCTTTAACCCTAGTGAGGTGCCACACCGTGAGTGCCTCTGTGTTACCAGGTGCTACTGATAAACAGTGGCCATGTGAGGACCTGACAGATGACATTTGAATTACTCTACTGATTTTGGATGAATTTTATTTGGTAATGTCTTACCAGTAAGCAGTTTCTGGAACTGGAGATGCTCATGCTATGAGATGCTGTGTTTTCTCCCTGGACTCTGCAGCCCCTCTGTCCCTGGGTGACTGTTGATCTCTTGGTTTTATGGGCTGTTAATCAGAGCTGTAATCAGTCACCTATCTGCAGGTGATAGCACAGAGACAGTGTTTACTTTTTTCCTCCTTCCCTCCTCTTCCCTAGCTAGCCTTGCTAGTTATTTTAGACTCTTCGTTAAAATAGCTTCATAGTCTATCTGAAAATTTCAGTGTTGCTGCTTTCTCAAAGTTCTGTCCTCCTCCTCAATGAGGGATCTTTCAAGATGCCAGCTTTTATTTGTGTGTACAAAATACAGAGCTAGAAAGAACTTCAGGTTAATCTGAACTCATTATTTTAAGCTTCTGTGCACCTATAACTATGATAAAGTGCTTCAGTGGGAAATGCAGCTCATACACCAATGACTCTCTGAGACTAGAATAAGCTTTATGTACTTAATATGTGCTGAGAAAGTCCATTATGTTTGCTGGAATTTTCGCATACTAGTATTTTCTTTGTTAACCCTAACAGAATGTGTTCAGATGCTGAACAGTAAACTGTTTTCCTGAGAAGAAGAACTAACTTTCTCCTTTTCTTTCCATTTCAGTAGGTTGTATAATGGAACTTGTGGATAAAACAATCAATAGTTACTTTGATGTTTGGCTTGGACCCAGAGGTAAGATTTCTCAAAAGTTAATAAATAAATGCATAAATAAAAGTAATATAATAAATACATAAATAAACTGATCTTCTTAGAACATAAGAAACATTTTTCCTCTAACCTGACATTGACAGGTGACTACTTTCTTTAGAATCTGCAAAGCATCAAAATGTCTGACAGTGTAATAAATAAGAGTCTATTCAATGCTCCTAATCTTTTGACCTGAAGAGGTCATTCTTCTTACTATCAGTTAAGCTCATGTTGTTTGTCTTAGAGGGTGACATACCTCACTCAGATTTTTGCTGCTTTTTGTTTTTAATTTAGTAATAGCTTTTATTCTAAAAAAAGCCACTTTAATTTACTTTTAATGAAATAAAAAATACTCTTGCCTTCATAACTAGATCTTCTCTGGAATTTTTCACTAAAAATATCTATGGTTTTTGAGAAACACTGCTTCTTTGAAACCATTCTTTTTTGAAGAAGCAATAGCTTTGGTAGGTTTTGCCCAGGGAAAAGCCCTGCAGGTGGAGAACTGCAGTCCTGGTCAGTGTGAGGAAGCCAGAGACTGTGGAGCCAGGACGAGCAGTGGTCTCATGCTGCAGGCTTGGGTAGGATGGTCCAGTTCCACCTGGTTCTGACCAGGGGGATTAAATGGCTGCATCCTGCACAGAGTGTGCAGAGCAGTGCTGCTCAGTGGCATGTGCCTTCTTCTTATGACTGCTGCAGTAATGCCTTTTCTCTGTCCCACTCAAGATCCAGTGATGGTGCCCCTTCTTCTCAGGAGAAAGTCTGCAGGAGATGGAACAAGCCTCTGATTCTTCTAAGTGTGTTTTCTGTTTGCTTTTATTAGTATCTTGGTGCCCTTGTTGCCTCTCTCTTCATACTAAGCCTGTTTAAATTAGCCTGGATGTTCTGATATAACATATGCATGTGCTGGCATATGGTCTCTCTTTGCTGTATGAGAAAAATCATGAACCATAAAGGTGGCAAATCAAAACAATTCCCTGCCTTGCCTACCTACTTTCCAACCTACAGTTTTAAGGCCTCCTTTCATACATTCAGGATTCATGTATGACTCTAAAACTTAAGTCAAGACTGTGAATGACAGCAATACTTGAATTATTCATTTATAGTTTGGTTAACTTGGTTTCAGTACTTTGGGATGACTTTAGTGAGAGGAGTGAGGTACTGTGCTGTTGCTGGGTATGGACAACACAGATGTGGTTCAAAAGGATCGCACTAATGTTCCAAGTAGTCCCCTAAAATTCTCTGATTGAGGGTGGTTTATGTGCTTTTCCTGAGAAGCTGATGCATTGCCAACCAGACTGGTTACTCAGCTGCTCTGTGTGCCATTGCTCATACAAGAACTTCAAAGTTTAATTCTTTCTAATAGCACATACATAAGTCTAATTGTCTTAGGATTGACTGGAAAATAATTATTAGGATCATCCACCTATAACTACAGAGGTATCTGCTTCACTCCTAGGTTTGCTGACTCTAGGAAATAAGATATGTACCATCAGGAAAGGTTGGCTTGAGAAAATATAGGGGAGAGATTTGTTGAAGCTTTTCTTTATAATTATCTGTGGTATTCAAGTGGGTGACAGTTCTGAATGGTAAGGAGTATTTAAAAATAATAATAATAACTTAAGAATATTGTCGCCTTAGGAAAATAATTATTTCTGCTTTCTTAAATACGTAAATAAAATTGTTGTTTGTAATTAGCAACGTGGCCATTAGCAAAAGGGCTTGCTGCACTTCCTTTGTCTTTCTTTGGTATTCCAGCACTGGAATAATTTTGGGTACAATTATTTTTAGTTGTGTTGAATTCTCTCCTTACAAAATCTGAGTGTTTGTATGTTTTTGTTTGTTTGTTTCAGACCCCAGAGTAAAAGGATGGCTTCTTCTGGAGAACTATACACCTACCTTTATCTTCTCAGCCTTGTACTTACTGATTGTATGGCTAGGACCAAAGTACATGCGGAATAAGCAGCCCTTCTCATGCAGGGGTATTCTAGTGATCTACAACCTTGGACTTACACTGCTTTCTCTGTATATGTTTTATGAGGTAAGAGAAAAAGGGTTGCTCAGGCTTATTTTGCAGGGTCTGTTTTAATTACATTGGCTGGTGTTGAAAGTAGAGCAGTGCCTCTGAATTCGGGAAGCATCTGCAGAAGTGGTGCAACCATTTTCAATGTCACTTGTCTGGAAAGAAAACCCTAATTGTAGTGTTACCTCTAAGGATGGTGTGAAACAAACCTTGCCTTAAACATCCTTGCAGATCTTGGTTAGCAATGTTACAAATGCACTTTGCTCAGCTGGTGCAACTGAGGTCCTGATCCTTCAGCATGAACTTGGCTCCTCCTTCAGTAATGTCTCCTTGCTCAATGTGATTGTGCTGGTGGTCTGTAGAAAGTACTTTGTAGCAAAACTGTGGCTTTATCTGCAGGGCAAAATGTTTTATTCGTTTGTGTTTAATCATGCACACACTCCTCGCATCTATTTCTGTAAGCTTGCAATAGGTTCTTTTGCGTCCTCTCAGTCTTGCTGGGGAAAAAAATGTTGCTGAAAGAATGCCATTGTGATTCATCTGTTTGTTTGAGCTTAAAAATCTAAACATAAAAATAGATTTCAGACTGAATTGAACTTCCTGTGGACTTATTTTCTTTTGTAAAAACCCAAAGATTTAGGCAGTGTAAAGTTTTCCACTTCCCAGAGAGCTCTTTAGCTGCTTTTACTCAGAACTATCTGCTTTTGTTCAAGTGAAAATGAGGAACTATGGTAGTGTAAATAATGATGTGGTCAGAAAATTACTCTTTGCTTTAATGTACAGAATATTCTGGCACACTCTTAACCAAAGTATTTCTTCTTTCTGTAAGGAGGTATTTAATTTTCAACAGCCTCTTTTCAATTCTTTCACTACAGCGTATTCAAATACAACCTAGGACTAAAACTACTAATCTCTCTCTCTCTCTCTCTTTTTTTTTTTTTTTTTTTTTTTTGCATGAGCTTAGGAGAGAATATAAGCTGTGCTTCTCCTTTAAGTTTGTAGTTAATTCTATACTGTTTTACAAGGTGAGTGTTTAGAGATGAAGTGATTTAAATTCAATATTGTTTCTCAATGTGTAGTGAATTGTCTACTCAAAATTTATTGGGTTGGTTTATTAAGAAATTTGATACTTAATTGTTCAGTTGGGAGCAGTAGGATTCAGTAGGTACTTGGAGGAGCAGTTGGATTCAGTAGGTACTTGGAACTACTTCTGTTCTTGATGTGCTTACATTTCTAAATTCCTTGTCAGGGTGTTATAATCCAGAAAAATATGTGTTGATCAGTTTAATTTGTCTAAATGTAGTGTTGATGTTGACTTCAATATTTATCTGCATTATTTGATGCATGTGTTATTTACAGTTATATAGTGATCTGTTGTTTTAACCTCCAGTAATGTTATTGAGAGTTTAGAAGTACAGACTTGTCTTCAGTTGTACCAAGTGTGAATACTTGGAATAATACTCATAGCTTCTAAATTACTGTAACATTCTGCTGTGTTACAAAACCCGCTGGTAAATTTGAACATGAGAAAATACCCGAACTGTTGATCCTATAAATGTCTTTTTCTTGCTAACAATAAACTGGTTATCAAGGGAGGACTGTTCATTATATGCTGAAGAAGTCCTCATACTTGTAACCAGATAAATAGCTTTTATATTGTGGAGCAATGACACAACTAAAATACAGTGAATATTAAGACCCCTCCTTCCTACATAATAAAACACTTAATGTGAAAATGAGTGTTGCTCTTAATCTAGTATTATCCATATGGATCTGTTTGTTGGTATTGTGAATATACCTTCTCCTTGTAAATGGACATACACAAAGCTAGAGCGTTATGAAGATTATTAAACACATTATAGTGGCAATAAAATGTGGTTGGCAGCACTTACAAGCTGGATGTGAGGGCAGGTGATGCTCTGCAACAAGGGACTGATCCCATAAAAATGCTGCAAAGCAGAGAGCCATGCTGACTTAACACCACACTGCTTGATATTTGCAGGGAGGGAACTAAAGGTCATAGGGGAAAAATGGGTTCTTGCACCTCTAGGTATGTTCTCTATCTGAAGTACCTGCACAGCATGTGATACCCTTGCTCATATCTCATCAGTCCTGGAAATTTTCCTTTGAAGGATTAGCCATATATCAGTACTTTATAGTACACTTACTTGCTTTTAAGACAGAATGATGGGGAACAGCATTCAGAAAACTTGAGTAACTCCCTGTTCTCCTTGTTGTAAGGAGCTCTCAAAACTCCATTTTGAGTTTCAGTTGGATTAAAATTTTTCAGTCCTACTGTCAGGGAAATCATAAAATGTCACCATTTATGAACTTGTTTAGTAGCGTGTCTGAAAAGAAGTTGCTTTAATAGCTTGTGTACAATACACCTGAAACCCTACTTTGAAGTTTTTCCTGAGTTACAGCTGTGGTGATTCAGGTCGTGAGTCATAGCATCACAGCTCAGTTTGCATATTATGTGTCCAAAACAAGATGTTAAAGTGAGGTGTCCTCCCAGCTGGGATGAAAAGGATAACCTGCTTGGTTTTCTGACCTTTATGTCTGAATGAATGATTGTAAGCAATAACGTGGGGGAATTTGGCATCGTAGGATTTGTGTAACTCTAGGTGTTGTGTACTTTGGTCTAAAATCACTAGACATTTTAGACCTGTTATGTGGAATTCCTAATAGTTTCTCTCTGTGCTTACTATACCTTTTTCATTAGGCTATTTAATGACTTGGCTGGGTTTTGGTAATCGCAGAGAAGTGGACTGCTGTTGTCCCAGACAATATAACAGACAAGGCAGATCCAGGGGAGCTGGAGAGATTTTTCCAGGCTAATTTGTCACATACTCCAGCAGGACAGGATGTTCTTTAGGGTCAAACAATGCTTTATTCTGTAAAAATCTACAGTGCTTGGACTTAAGGAGAAATAACACTCTTATGTCTCAGGCAGGGGCATCAAGGAATGGCTTCCTGTGTGTGGAGAAGGTGCTAGCAGGGACTGGCAGTGGGGTATAGGATATGGGATGATCACCTGCTGGCTGCACGGCTGTGTCTGAGGAGCTGCAGGAGCAGCTGGAACAGCAGAGGCAGCACTGCTTCCCCTGGGCTGCTGCTCTGTGCTGGGATCACAAGGTGTCTTGCAATGCTGTGACCCGTGCCCGTGCAAGGGCCCGTGCCTCTCTGCTTGAGTCTCAGCTGGGTAACTTAGCTGAGGGGGGAGAGTGCCAGGTACCCGATTGCACTGCACACAGACCTGTGTTATTTTGGGGGAGTTTGTTAGCAAAACTGGCCAAGTGATCTGCATCACCTGGGCTTACGTTAGAGAAAACTGGTCAGTGATGAAAGCTCACTTTCTTAAGTGATCTCTTTACTGTACTTTTTCTTCATCTGAAAAATTCCCTACTGCGTCTGCCTGAGAAAAGTCTTAGGTTTTCCTGATGAGTGAGGTGTTCCATATGCAGTAGGAAAAGTGTAGGAAGCAGGGGACTCTGTGCAGATGTGCTGTGTCACACGAGCCATGGGTGGCAGCTAGGCTGCTCTTTCCTCTCAGCTTTCTTTCTCCGCCTTCCTGAAGCTCTTATCTCTGCCCTGGGGTAACTGCATTCATGTAAAGATAAAGTTCAGTATCTGTGCAGGCATGTGCTTGCTTTGATCAGACGTTAACTTCTGTTTCTCTTCATTCTAATCTAGCTCTGTTTTGAGCCTTGTAAACCCATCACGCCTTGACACTGTGATGCAGTGCTAGGTCCCTTATCTGCCCCTCTCCAGTGAGTCTCAGACTTTAGTTTTATCATGAGAAAAAACCAAAGTCCTCCACAGTAACACCTCTCCTCCACCCAGTCAGACTGGTATTAATGTCCTGGCCTATTTTGGTAGCAGAGGTGATAAAAAAGCATGGGCCACAGCATTTCAAAGAATTCAGCAACAGAATTACAAAATAAAAGTGATAGGAAAAAAGAAAACTTCATTGCAGGGGAAGAAAGTGTGGGTTGTTTCAGCACAAATGGAATCTTGAGCTGCAGGTTTTCTCCTGAGCTGAGGGGCTTGAGTTTGAGTACCATTTTAATTGGCTTATGAACTGTCTTTTTGTGCTGCTTAGAAACCATGTGAAGTGGTTTGCTCAAGTGCAAATGGCTATAATTGGCCTTTTCTGGACATGTTAATTTCTCAAGAGAAGATTTGCCTGTGGTTGTCCATGAGCAGTGCCATCAGCAGGCCTGGACTCCTGCCAGCCTGAAGACGAAGGACTTCTGGAGAGAACGGGCATGGAATGAAAGGTTGTCTCAAGGCTGTGTTGGCAGAAGAGCCACCGCTCTGTTTGTGGGCAAGTTTCAGACCTACTGTACAGTGGTGTAAGGCGGTGTTGGAAACGCTGGCCATCCAGGGAGCAGACCACAGCAAGTGTGAGCAAGGACTTAAATGCACTGCTGGAAATTTGTGACCCCTCCTTACCGCTTTTGTGGTGGCAGGGAAGCAGCTTCCTGGGACTGTACACCTGTGTATAATGGAGCCATTTGTGGTCATGTTTCAGAGTGATCTCTTGGTTTTGTTTTCTGAAGCCTTCCAGCATGGGATGAAAGCATTGTGGGTGCAAGAAATAATGATGCCAGGCAAAGGAACAGCTGGCTAAATGGGGAAGATGATTTATACGTTGTATGTTGCGCTGAGTAAGGTTTGTGGGCAGCAACAGCAGTTTGTGGGCAGCTGTAGCATCTTTTAACCAATTAGTTCCTTCTGGAAAGTGGGAAATGAAATTATTTGTGTAACTATACTAGCTATTTATGTGATAAAAGATGCTGACATTTCCTACAAATGTTGCTTTTCTTATGTCATTTGTGGCTGTGAGAGTATTACAGTTCCTAGCATACAATAATATGTTCTTTTGTAAACAAGGGAGTACTCAGGTTGAGGTGAAGCCACTGCTCATAGCCACACTGTTGCCATTGTCCTTTAGAGAGGTGGGATCCATGGAGACACCTTTGGTTGCATTACACTTCAGATGGTGAACTTGTACTGCTTGCAGGAAAAGTGCTGTGGATTCACTATGCCAGCCTTTACTGGGAAGAAGTTTATGTAATGCAGCATTAATGATGGACGTTGTTGGGATTAATTGAAATGTAAACAATGTGATTATCCTTCTATTCCTAACACTTCCTTGAACTATGAGAACTGTATGAAAACATCTGTAAGCTCTTAACATGATCACAGCACAATGTGGTGTTCTGTCTGAGGGACTGGCGGGCGCTTGCAAGGCATGCAGTCTTCCCTCAGTGGCCTGAAAGTGGCTTGGTGCAAAGCTTGCTCTGGGGCACAGCTGGGCCTTCAGCAAGGTACCACTTCTAAACTGGTGTCCTCTGCAGGGCCCTGCAGCCAGGAGAGGAGTCCTTCCATGGCTGCCTTCTCTTTGTTGCTTGGGTAGGGAAGGTTCCTGGGTCTGCTGCTGATGTGCACAGCTGCCCTGCCCTTGCTGTGGCAGGGTGCTATTGATTGATCTCTAATACAAGAGATGCTTTCAGATCTGTATATTATGATATAACTAGATGTACATTTTTTCCCCTAAATTGAAGCAATAATACTATCTCAGAAGGTCAAAAATAATGACCTAGGCTGACTGAGTATTTTAAAAGCTAATTTAGGAGGAAAATGAGGCATGAAGGAAATAACTTTGGGGAAAGGTAGATCATTTATGTGATAATCTTTATTGAACCTTTTAAAATTAGCTTCCCATTCACAGTTCTGAGCAGCATTTAGTCATACCAGTTATTGTAGTCCTTTAATCAAGTGATCTTTTAAAATTACTTTTAGTGTAAGGAATTCCTACTGTGGCTTTGCAAAGCTATTTTTTATCCTGCAGATAGATAAGGCCAACTTGCTCCTGCCTTTCAGATGTTTTATAAGATACCTAACAATTTTTTTTTCACTTGGGAGTTGCCTCAAGTTGTTACTCCTCTCCTCATGCTATGCCCCAGAGGAAGAACATGTTTATAAACAATATTCAATGATCCCTTCTGTTGAACTATTAAAGGAGATATTAAAGCATGTCTTTGCACGTGCTCCCTTCTCCCATTCAACCTTCAACCTGTCCTACCATCTCCTACCATCTGTGAAAGGGTGAGAACATCCAGCATGGATCTTGTTTCTCTAGAGATTAGAGCCAGCCCTCCACAGCAGACACCCTGTCATCTGTCATGACTAATAGCTGGTCATTACTCTTTATAGTGACTCCGTTATGTTTGAGGTGTTACTTGTTATGCCAGGAAGTCAGGCAGGCAGTGGCGTATCCTGCAGAGGAAGTCACTTATATTGGGAAGGATGTAATGTGCTTGGGATGAGTGAATTGCTTAAAAAGATCTTGAAGAATGGCAATGCAGTGAAGCATGTGTTGTTAGCTGTTAAGGAGAGCAAAGCTGAAAATATGCCCTGTCATGTGGTTGAAAAAACTGTAGTCACATCTCTTGAGTATAAAATTTTTTAAAGATGTAGCTCTTTCCAAAAGTAATCAGAAGAAAAATGTATTTACTGAACTTTGGTTATTTATTTTCTCTAACAATGAGATCATCAGCAAAGAAGGAGACTTCACTCTGAAAATGCTCACACTGTGGGATAAGTGGGGATAAAATGTTTTCTCCTATTTTTATTCTGGTATACCCCAATTGGGAGAATTTATTAATTCACCCTTCACTGTGATTCCATCACTGCTTGGGACTTGAATTCAAGCTGATGCCACTCTCAGGTGCCCAGGATTTTCTTGACACCAGATGTTTGGGCTGAGCCACTGTGGGTTTGCAGGTGCCATGGAGTTCAGCCTCTTCCCCAAATAACAATTTTTTTTTTTATTTGCTCAGCTGGTGACAGGAGTATTAGAAGGAGGATACAATTTCTTCTGTCAGGATACACACAGTGGAGGAGAGGCTGATATGAAGGTACTGTAATCGAGACTTAGAGCTGGAGATATTTCAAATTGTCTACTTGAGTGTAAGTGGAGAGCAGAACAGTATTGATTATGCACATTTTGGTTAAACTATAATCTTTTTTCCTCCTTTTGCAGTACAATAGACAATGCACTGTCAGACATAATAGTTAATCTATGATATATTCATGGCTGGTATTTTTGTAAGTAATTATTTGCAAATTTTCAAGAGTCCCCAGATCAAAAAATGAGGACCTGGTCTTCAGACTGTATCCAACCACTTCGTGTTGAGACTACCCTTCTCTTTCTGAGATGTGGTGATGATTTCTTCCGGTCACACTTCTGACCTCTCCTTTACAGAGAGCACTGCAGCACCAGCTCTCATTAAGTGTTTTCTTATTTCTGCCAGGACAGCCCAGGTGCACAGCAGTAGCCTCATGAAGCAGTCTTTGTCATCCTGTTTTCAGCTGTAGCTGTAGATTTATACCTCGATATCTCCTGTGGAGAAACCTGAGGCAGAAGTATTACAGAAGATCCCAGCAGTGTCTTCAGTCCTAGTGGTGCAAGACAGAATCTGGGTTTTTAATCACTTAGATAACATAAGAGTTGAAAACCCCCACAATGTGAAATGCTTCTAAAACTTGTTTCCTCCTTCCAGATTATACGTGTCCTCTGGTGGTACTATTTCTCCAAACTCATTGAGTTCATGGATACCTTCTTTTTCATTTTGAGGAAAAATAATCATCAGATCACTGTTCTGCATGTCTACCACCATGCAACAATGCTGAACATCTGGTGGTTTGTTATGAACTGGGTGCCTTGTGGTCACTGTAAGTACTGGGTTATGGTGGGGGAACTTCTGCAACAGGGGCTTTGTTTTGGTGGTTTTTTGATCAAACCAAACATCTCTGGTACCTTCAGCTGCAGGATTTGTTCTGTACCATATTAAGCTGCTTTGCTGAATTGCAACTATTGTAGATGGTTGCAGGAATTAAGCTGCCAGCACAGCCTCTAGGAAAGGAATGTCTATGTAGATTGAAGAATTTGTGTGGCAGTGTGACATTTATCAGGTGCGTTACCCCAGGTCAGATACCCATCCAACTTGCTTTCTCTATTTTTGCTGTAGTTACAGACCCTCTGATGAAACAATACCCTTTTCCAAGTCAAGCCAGAAGCTTGTTTCAGCTGTAAAACAGCTAAAAGTGACTCTAGTCCTTGTATCTGTAAAATTCACTTGAGATATTACTTTCTTAATTTAATCTCATTATACCACTGGCCATAACAAAGGATTTCAATTAGAATCTTGTCCCCTGAGCACTAATGAACATGAGCAAATGAATCTTAAGTGGAAAATTTCCATGTCTCTCTTGTCTAAATCCTGCTAACCTTTGGCCATCTGACTTTAATTCTTTACTTCTACTGCATTTAGCTGGCATTTGCTTTCCTAACTGCATTATCATGGCTTAGCTGTGGTTAGGATGTGCAGCTTATAGGTACTGGCTTTGTTGAACACTGTTCAAGAGAAACCTTTTCAAACCCGATGGATGTGAGCTACTGGCAATGCAGACTAAGAGGCTGCATTCCTCAGGAGTCTGGTCTCTGAGCCAAGCAGCATAGAAACTTGTATTTGTTTTGTGTTGTCAGCACAACAGTGAGTAATACTGAACTTATAAAAAGTCTGCATCTGGAAACACGTTCTCCTGCAAGGAAGTCAGTCCTTGTTCATACAGCAGTCAAAACTGTGTCTGTGTAGAATCTATCTTGTGCTCATGTGGTCTTGAAAACACTTTTGTACTATTTCTAGTCATGTGCTTTTCTTCTTCCAAGCTTTATGTTCTGTTATGTAATCACAGCTCAATGCAGTTCAGTGTTAAGCGGGAAGTTTCTTTAATGACTAAAGGTGCTGTAAACAAGGACAAATAAAATAGCTAACTTGCAGTTTCTGAAGGTATCTGAAGCTTTTTGGTTATAAATTTAAAAATTGGCTCCTGCCTGGAAGGAAGTGAAATCAGCCTAAAAGTAGATGGGTGAAACTATTGATTGATTGGTGTGTGAGCATTCCTTCTTTTTATCAGTTTCCTCAGTTCCCTCGAGAAACTATCATGTAGATGTAAAAAAAGAGTAATTTGAGGAAACAAAACCAGAAGGCTGGTGTAAAGCACAAAGCTGCAAAGCAGCTCAACTACTCCATTGGATAGGGAGAATAAAAAACAGGGTAAAAAAAGAACCGTCTTGCTTTTCTTCTAAGAGAAATCATATTTTAAATAGTAACATTTTGAACTTGTTATTTTTGTAGGTTCCATGAAACAGCATGTTCCTGGTAATGCAGTGTACTTTCTTTTTCCCTTGCCCTTTTTTTAGCTTACTTTGGTGCCACACTGAACAGCTTTATCCATGTCCTCATGTACTCCTACTACGGACTGTCTGCTGTTCCAGCAATGCGTCCTTATCTGTGGTGGAAGAAGTACATCACTCAGGGGCAGCTGGTGAGTGATTTGCTCTTCAGTGCTTCAGCAGGCTCTTGTATTCGTGATGAGCTCCTGTTGTCTTTACCAAGTCAGGAAGTTTTGATGGGATAGGAGAAGAGAGAATGAGAGCTAGTACCTTCCACCTAGTGCCTACATCACCTTAGAAATCCAGCTTCTGCACGTCTGTTTGCTCTGTTCTCAGGCCGATGGGGACTGGGGATGTACATCAATCAATGCTGAGGTCTGTGGGATCTTTCTCTCCCACACCACATCATGTGGTTAGATGCATTTGGGAGTTGCAGTGCTGGGATTTCTGGCACTCAGTAGCCAGGGAGGAGGCTTTTCTTACAAGCCCTCTTGAGCTAGCCTGCTCTTCCCTGTTCTTGGTTGGTCAGGCTGGGACAGACCAGAAACCGAGTGCAATGCCATCCACAGCTAACAAGGGCCATTCTAGTCCTGCGGGACAATGCCTTTTCTGTCCTACTTTTGCATACAGTTGCAAGTGGTTTATTAAAAACTATTCAATATTTCTGCTCACTTTCTGCACTTTAAATGGGCAGATTTTTCCTCTTGTAATTCTGTGTTGGACTCCTTACATCTGTTTGCATTGTTGCTAGTGGATGCAGTGATGAAGCCTGACCACTGTGTGCTGGAGGTGGTAAGAGCAGTGTAATAAAGTAATGCAGTACATGCTGTAGTGATACTGCATGAGAACCAGGTTTCAATGTGTACAACATGTCAGAACACCACAAGGAAATGTGCATGAGTGTTCTCTCTTCCCCATTTTGCAGGGGGAGAAACTGAAACCTAAATTATTTTGTTATATTTTTCTCCCCCCCCCACCCCAGCGCTTCTCAGAGCTGTGAATAGTTTTAATATTGGCTGGTGATGATTAATAATATTTACTGCCAGCAATTCACAGTGTTGATGTTGATTCTCAACGTGGTTTTTTTTTAACACTGTTCTTCCTGAAGGATGGCTAAGTATTGTAGTTGAGGGCTCATTATTTTCATGGGAGGCATGGGGGGGTTGCTTTGGTTTGAGGTTTGTTTCTGTTTTTCTTTCCAGATTTAGGCTCTATTCTTTATCCTGCTTGTTGAAGTGCTACAGAGTACAGTGTCTGGGGGCTTCAGTTGCTACCCTGGCTGTTGTCATAGCTGCTTTCACTTCCTTGCCTGCTCTGCATGCATAGCTGTTAGGGCAGCAAAATAGCAGAGCAGAACAAACAGTCTTCCCTTTTTAAATAAACATTCCCTAATCTGGTAGCCTTTATGTGAGTATGAATTTTGCCTAAGGCCCTCTGCATCACATAATCCCAAACTCTGTTTTTCCAAAATAGACAGTTAAAGATAATTGGAACCTTATCCTCCTCCCTGGCTCCCCAGCTTCCCTGCAGCCTTTACCCCAAAAATTCTTCACTGGAACCATATGTTAGACAGTTCCTGTCTGTGGGAAGGGATTGCAGGGGTCTGTGTGCAGACCAAGTAACCCCAGGTCTTTTGCAGCTGAAGCAGTGAGATGCAGATCTACTCCATTAGGGTGGTAAAGTCATATCCCACTGAACTCTCACTGGGAAGAAGGTGGTCTTTCTTCCTTGGGGCGTTTATATATCAGTTCTGCGTGAGTTCCTCTAATGTTCTAAAATGGAAAAATACAAATAAACTTGCTTAACAGGATACCACAATCTGAATGTCTGCTACCTCAGGTTTATGGAGAAAACACTTGCCAAACACACAATATTACATACTCTTTACTTGTTTTGGAAATTACTGTTGAGGTTTTGGTAACACATGGGTTTTTTCCTCCTTCCATTAATGTGCTCCATTTCTCTCATTTTTGTTTTCTCTCCCCAGATTCAGTTTGTCTTGACAATCTTCCAGACCAGCTGTGGTGTTGTTTGGCCGTGTGCATTTCCTCAGGGGTGGCTGTATTTTCAGATTTCTTACATGATTTCTTTGATTATCCTCTTCACAAATTTCTATATTCAGGTAAAAGTAACATTTATCAACTCTTTCTAGCATTCTGCTGGCTGTATCTCACTGGAAAGCTGTGACAGAAAGATATGCTTGAAATGTCCTTTTGCTATCCTTCACTAACATGCATATGTTCTTGAAGTACTACACTTGTTGATCCACCCTCTACTTTCAAATCTTCTGGTGCTTTGTACCCATAATTCAGAATGCTTAGTAATTTCAGTAAGCCAGTTATACAAAAAAATGGCTTATTGCAATTTTAACTGCAGGTAAGGGAGAGGAGGAGCTTTATGTAAGACAAAGCTTTCCAGTCTGAAATAAACCAGCAGCATGTGAACCTGTGAAGTACCTGAAGGAGTTGTTAATTTCTGCTTTTACAAGGGGAAAGCTCGGTTTTTAATCCAGGGAAATTTTCTAAACTTACAACATGCAGAAATATTGATTTTGTTCACTTCTACAGGCACCTTTTTGTATTTTCATATGGAAAATTAGTGGGTTTAGTTGTTTTTCTACAAATCTGATTTCATGTTTCAACAGATCCAAACTTGGTATGTGTTATTCTGAGCAGTTCATAACTGGGCTCTGTACAAAGATGTACAACTGCTGTCCACAGAAAATCATGTACTACTGAAGGCAGAAAATCAAACCAACAGACTGCTGCCCCCAAACAAGCAAACTCTGTTATGTGGTTCAAATGTCATTTGAGAGATTTGGGTGTTTTGGTTCTGGAATGATTCATGGGGGGATACACAGCAGGCTTCCCTGTCTGTACTTCTTAGAACCATGAATTCTATCACTTGCTGCATATGAACATGCTAATTAAACATCATTATACTCCACATGTTACTTAATTTTCTTTGCCAATTTTGCTTATATTTTAACTTTTAATTGTTTAGATCCCTTTCACACAGAAATTTGACAAAATGTGCTTTTGTCAGGCAGCTGAGCCCCTTTGAAAAAAACTTACGTATATTTTACTGTCTGTAATTTTTTAGTTTCCCTGATCCTGCCAGTTTTTGATTCTTGTGTTAGCCAATGGAAATTCCCATCACATTTCTGTCTGTGAACTTCCCTCACTTCTATTGTTTACCTACTTCTTGTTCTGGCTTTGTTCAAGATACTGTCACCTGCAGTGCCTCAAACCTCCTTCCTCACATGTCATTTTGAGTATATTCTTGTCCCATAGTCTGCTCATAAAATTGCTTCCCTTGTTTCTAATTTAGTGTTAGTATAACACTGCCATCATACTGCCAAGCCTTTTTCTTTTCAAGTGAACTACTCCTCTCACTGTGATGAATGAAAGGCGTAGTGTAGTCTCATGCACAAAAAGTGGTTGAGCTTGTTAGACTCTTACTCTCACCGGCACAAGGGCTTTAAAAAAGATGAATGCAAGTTTACTTTTGTGTTTTTAGAATTACTGTGAAGAAGTGGTTATTCGTGTCTAATTAAACAAAACCATGTGTCTTTCCGTGTATTTTAGACTTACAACAAGAAGGCATCCTCGAGGAGGAAAGAGTATCAGAATGGCTCCACGGCCATTGCGAACGGGTACACAAACAGCTTTTCTTCCCTTGAGAACAATGTGAAACAAAGGAAACAAAGGAAGGATTGAAGACCAAACTGAAAAACCATTTTGATAACCCCAACAACAAAATCATCTGATTGTAAGCACAATGAGAGTTGTGCAGTAATACTCTAATGGCTACTGTAACTATTCCTGCCTAGAATAGTGTGATTTATGTAGGACTTAACCAGTGCAAACACCCTAGAAACTGTATACAGAACATAAAAGTAGGTTAAAGTTTAAAAATAATTCTGGGCTGTCACTGACCCTGCTATAGACTATGGAAGGGAGTATTATCATATTATCCGACACTGCTGTTGCCTTACTAGTCAATATGATAGGTGCTGAATTATGATTCACAATTTGAAAACACTGTAATCTAAACCTCCATTTTTTAACTATAGATCATGCATGTGATTGTAGAGGTAATTTGTATGATGCTGGTTTCAGTAGATAAACACACATGCCTTAAATTAAAAAGCAGGGCCCAAAGCTTATTACTGGTTTAAGAATTAGGGTATGTTTCAGCTTTTCAGTTGATTGACTTTTTATCAAAAAGTCACTTAGAAGAATCCATTGATCATTTTACTGTTCTGTATGTGATACACAATACTACGTATCTCTTACTCGATACAGTGAAATTGGAAATGGCACATTTAGTTTTGTATATTTGGCTTTAATTGACTCAACAGTCACAAAACAGATGGAAAAGTTATTTTACCTTTTTAATAGATCTTATTTTTTTATTTGAAGTACATCACTAACATAAAAGTAATTGGCGCTTACACAGTCGAGTAAGATTTAAATATTGTCTCTAAAGTTTAGAGCATATACAGGGTGGACCCATCTATTCTTTTTACTTTTTTCTTTTTTTCTTTCTTATTTCTGAGAATTCTTAAATGCTAAATGAAGAGTGGTTTTTAATATGAAACTGGCAGTTTCAAGTGTTATTACCATAGCCATATCCATATTTTAGGAGCTACTGTTTAAGTCTGTGACATATCCAAAAGTATATTTAAAAGTGGAGCCAGAAAGATGCTTTTCTGATGGAATTGTCTGTATGTAAGTTGGTATCTGAACTGTTCTTCATGTAGCATACATTCACCTTAAAAATGTGCCTAACACAAAAATTTTTTTTCCCCAAATAAGCAAGTTTAAACAGTTTAAGTCATAGCTAATGTTTTTTAAATGTTACTGAAATGTGCTGGAAATGTCTGTTTCTGTAATGTGAGTTGTGTATATCACTGGTAATGTTTTGGCTTGTTATCTAAGGATTTGGTTTGAGTGCTGGTTAAGGTTACTCCTTCTTGTAAAATGCTGTCTTGCACATATGAGGAGTCAGTTGCAGAGCCAGTATCTGTTGCTGGTATTCTGGTATCTTCCATGGTGGAGTCCATTAAGCTCTGAAAAATTGAATTGTGCAAGACATTCTGCTGGTCATTGCTCGAGTTTGACTATTTGGTTTTTTGATATTTATATAAATGCCAGTTTTAACACATTTAATTGTTTTTAAATATTTTTTAAATTTTTTGCACATCTCTTAAGGAATTAATAAGTTCTCTTACTAGCCTTGTGGGTTTTCATTCCTCGTTTTGAAGGAGACAGTGTCTGTTATGTTTACATTATCAAAGCTTGTGCGTGTGTCTTCATTTCTAGGTACTGGTTTGCAGAGTCTTTACATAGCTCAGTACAGCAGCTATAATGTTCAAAATAGGCTGTCTAAATGTGCTAGAAATAAACTCTCGGCTCTTCTGAATATACTTCATTGTTAATGTTTGACATGGTTTAATCATTAAAACACTTTTGATGATCTCTGCCTGAATTCTGTGGGATTTGTACAGATTTAATGCATTGCCCCATCCTGTGTCTGGCCGAGGAGCAGCCACCATGATGGAAGAACAGCTGCAGATACTCAGGGACATTTAGTGTACCAGAGATTTGGCAACACATTCTTTACAGAAACCTTTGGCAGTTACTAAACACTGTTCCCTTGCCTGGCTGTAGAAATACTGGTCCGTGTGATGGATTTAACTCCCGCTGGGATTACTGACTCACTGAATGCAGAGCAGTCACAATAGCTTGAGACGAAGAGTGCCAGGAGCAAAGCTTAATGTGACTGAGAGGGGCTTCCTTCCTCAGCTGCCCTGTCTATAAAATGGGGATAATATCTCTCTCCAGAATGGGAGCATTTTTGCAATTTCTTTTTAGCACCCCTTGCCCCAAGGTGATAGTTTTAGAACTCTCTCTGATTTGAGTGTTGAACATTGCAACAATCCCAGATAGGCTAGTGATGGACTTGGTAAAAGAGAGCTATTTACATGGCTGTCTTTTCCCTTGCAGACTCTTCAAACAAAAAACACAGACCCAGGGAAATGGGTTTACACTTCGTGTGAAAGGCTTAGAGATTTCATGCTGTGTTGGCCTCCTCTGGGAGGGTTCTCTGAGCGCCTGAGGTAGTTGCTAAGACAGTTTCCTCTCCTTCACATGCCAATTCAACTATGGAATTGTGTGTGTTTCTAAGCAAGGCTCAGTAAGATGCAGTTCTTTGGCTGTTAGGCCAGATCTCCGGGAGGTGCCTGTAAAGCAGAAGCCACAGCACCAACCTGGCCTCCCCGTGTGAGCCAGCAGAGATGGGGCTGCTGCACTGCAAACCTCTCCTTCAAGGTTAATGGCATGTGGCGACAAAACCCAGTGACTTTGTCCGAAACTGGCAGGAGATGCAACCTTGGGAACATCAGCAGTGTCTACACCTGTGTGGCAAAAACTGTGGCTCCTGGATACTCTTCTACAGTCTCAGCAGCAACGGAAAAGTATCTGAGAGCTGGATGGGTTAGATCAGACATCATCTTACCATAGCTGATGGACCCAAGCACGAGTCTTGGGTCTGCTCACCTGGCTCAGCTGCCAGTGCATCATCTGACCTGGGGCAAGTAACAGCCTTTGGGTTGCCTCAATTCCCTGATCAGTAGTTTTCCTAATAGCTGGGATTGGTGCCTGGGACTGTGAGAGAGTCCTCAGAAAGAGCTTCTTGTGTTGTGAAGGCAGGAGAGTCGAAAAGAGATGAACTGCTGCCAACAGGATGGAGAGGTTTCATGTAAAGGTGGCTGGGGAGAATGACACAGTTCTGTGCAGAGAGAATGACCAAGCTACAAACCAGTAGGTTAAGATCTTGTGCAGTTCATGAGCTGACCAAATCCCTCCCTGCACTCAGGCTCTACAGCCTTGGTGATGAAAAGAAATGTTAAGCTTTTGTTCAGCTGTGAATGGGATAGGTAAGCTCAAATGCCAGAAAGCAGTTTTTTAGGGTGATCCTGCTGTTGACGTTGAGTGCTGCATCATGGATGTGCAAACCACCTGTGGGACTGGGATCACTCAGGAACTGGGATTCTTAGGTTGGCAGGAAGAGGAAAAGCAGAGAACAATTTTGGAAATCTTTGTGGTTGACCGTGTATTTTACTTGATGCAAGAGAGATACTAAGTGTTGGAGCTTGTGATAGGACTTAGAGCCCCAAAACTGGGACAACAAAAGCCCCCAGACCTCAAAAAGAGCTATTCTGCGGGTTGCCTCTGCCTTTGATGTTTGGTAGTTGTCTTGAGTTTAAGTTGATAAAGTGTGTTTCTTTTAGGAGACTGGAAAGTATGTTGTTAAAACAGTGTTTTAACAACAAGTGTATGCATTATTCAAAAAAAGAGATGTAAAAGATGGATGCCAAAGAGAAGTATAAATGAAATCAGAGTCCAAATTACTTGAGCTGTGTGGGTTCTTCAGGGAATCCCTTTACACAATGCAGGGAATGATGAAATACAGGTAGAGATCTGTTAGAGAAATGCTGCTCCAAGTTGTATTGGTACAGAGGATTCATTTACGTTGTCACTGTCATCCTCTTGCCAAGAATTACTGCACCAGCAAAAGTGATTAGTTGTGATCATCAACATGTTTCACAAACTGATTTATAAAGCAAACTTTGATTCCATTTTTGATTTTTAAATAATTTACTTTAAATAGCTGGATATACAAAACAACATCCATACGTTTCTCAATTTCATTAGAACACATTTGTATGAGCAGGGGAACCTGGAGTCCCCAGTGCCTCCCATGACATGAGAGTAGCAGAGGCATTCGTTTTTAAGTCAAAGGTATTTAAATAATCTCCAGCAGAAAGGAGGGGAAAGAGCAACAAAGGTCCAGTAAAAAAAGAAAAAAAAAAGGTATGTTTAAATGAGTCAAACCAGGATGTGGAGAAGGAGGAAAGAGACTTACATGTCTTGTGTTTCAGTGATATATAATGTAGACACCATATTTTTTATAGAAGGAATGTAAAAGGTCTCTGGTAAATGGTAGACTTAATAATCTGATTTCAGTATGATGAGAGGTTTCAGAATAAATGTGAAAAATAAATAGATGTGAGCAAAGGGAAGTAAAAAGAAAATGGGAGAACATGTAACAGTGCTTTTCTGGAAGTAATCACATCTGATTGACCTATATTGGTTTTTAATAAAAAAAAAATACTGTGTAGACAAAGGAAATGTATCTTCCATGCCTCTGGAATAGATAGTATTTTTAATCTTGGAAATTATTATGTAAACTAGAGGGTGTGGTGATCAGCAACAGGATCCATGGATAAGCAAGGTCAAACTGATGAGCAGATGCTTTGTCTCAATGCTTTCAGCCAGAACGGAGCCCATTAATAATGTTTTATGAGAAACCCTGGTATAAAAACCAGGACTATTTGCAACAATGTTTGGAGATGACAACATCAGAAAGTACTGTCAGTGCCATGAAAGATTACATCTACAGCAACTACCTTGATGGCTGGAGTAAGAAATGGAATTACTGTAAATCCCCCTTAAGCACCAGTAACAGAATTTCAGGAGTTCCAGTTGGACATGACTGTAGAGAAGGAAGATATATTTCAAATCATCTCTTCAACAATTTAAAGCTGCAACTGTGAAGAAAAAAAAAGGGGGTGGAAATCTCTTATTTGCTAACTTGGTCAATTTTTAGTAGGAGGAATGTGCTAGCATGGGAGGATGAGGCTCTAGCAGGACTTCCTTTTGATGAATACATCAGCTCTCAAGAAAACTGATTTTAAAAGATCTGCTGTACTGAAGAGTTACTGGGATGGACAAAGAAATGCAGGGGTTCTGCAAAACAGATGTTTAACGAGAACAGCATTGAGAAGGCATGTAACCTCAGCCAACACAGGCATCACATCAGCAGATTCAAATTTTCATGAAGGAAAATGAGCTATTTTAAGTGTATGACACAAATCAAATGGGTATAAGCTACCCAAGAGTCTTCCTAGGCTAGAAATAGGGAGAGTGCTTTTTTTTAATGGAATATGGCTCTGGAGCATTTTTCCCATAAGAGTAGTGTGGAGGTCTGGGGGATTGCTTGAAGATGGGTCACTGACCACTTCTGCAGCTGGTAAAACCAGGGGTGGGATGCCCTGGTGTGCTGCTCTGCATTCAGGCAAAAAGCAGCTGTTGGTGCCTCTGTGAAAGTATATCTAAGAAAGGGCAAGACAGAGAGAGGAGTGATGACAAAAGTGTGAGAAACAGCCCTGCAGACACCAAGGAGGGAGAGGAAGGCGGGGAGGAGGTGTTGCTGGAGAAGATTCCCCTGCAGCCTGTGGAGAAGCCTGTGGCCAAGCAGATACCTGCACTGCAGCCCTTGGGGGACCATGTGGTGGGGCAGGTGGACATGCCCTGAAGGAGCTGCAGCCTGTGGAGAGCCCGTACTGCAAGATTTTCCTCAGGGACTTCAGCACATGGGAAAGGCCCACACTGGAACATGAGCAGGAAGGAGGAGAGAGGAGCTGCTGTGGACTGATCAGAGCCACCCCCACAGCACTTGGAGAGTGGAAGTGGTAGAGGGGGTGGGAATGAAGGAGTGAAACAGCCTTGGAAGAAGGGAGTAAGGAGTAAGTGTTTTAGTTTTTGTCTTTGTGTGTCACATTCAGTTTCTGTTTTAATTGGAAATAAATTAATTTTTTTTTTCCCAGAATCCATTTGGGCCATGACAATTATTGCTGAGTAACCTTCCTGTCTTTATCTCAAACCTCAATCTTTTCATCTTATTTCCGCCCCCAATCCTGCTGAGGGAGAGAGAGCAGCTGGCTGGGTGTCTGGCAGGTGGCCAAGGTCACCCCACGCCACATGGACATTTTGTTCTCTTACAAATCAGCAGGTCAGGCAGAAGGCAGTTTCCTTGATCAGAAGGAAGATCTGCTAAAGGTCACGAGGTACCAGGCACCAGAAAACCTGAAGGCCATCGTGGTACACCTGGTAGTCTTGTAGTCTGGGAAAATATGCTCCCTCGAGTGAACCAGCTGCTTTGGTTTTGGGTTTGGGGTGTTTTGGTTGTTTGTTTGGTTTGGTTTTTGTTTTGTGGGGTTTTTTTTGTTTGTTTTGTTTTTTAAAATTTTTGTTTGTTTTTTCCAGATCTAACACATGTTAAAGCAACACATTTTCCAGGAATCTGTCCTATAATTCTTAGAAAGTTTTTAAAGGCAGTGTAGGAACCTCCTGTTTGCTAATGGAAGGTACTGCAGTGGCACAAGGTGTGAAGGAAGCCTGTGTTCAGAAGAAAGGTCCTGAATTTCCTCATGAGAGGAGCTGCCTCACACCCTTCAGAGGCAGCTGGAGCTCCAGCTCAAACAGGGATGGTCCAGCCACGTGACAAAAAGAAATGCAAAACCGTACTCATTGTCACATTTCATTTGGGAGCAGGTGAGACTTCGAGTGAACTGAATGCGTTGACAAAACAATGCAATCCCACAGAGTTGTTTACACCTGTGCATTTGCTGC